AGTGTATGGATTAGGGTTTACCCATGACTCTTGGAATCCTATACTATATATGTATTTACCTAAGGCTAAAATCAACCCTAATGAATTCTAAGAGAACCCTAACCGATTTCAGATTGTCTAACATCTCTCTCAAAGTCCTCCTTTGTTCATGGTGTTTGTGAACCATTTTAGGCATCACACTTGAGGTGCTAAGCTCTTGAAAGGCCAAAACTACAAGCTACAATTAAGAGGTATGCTTCTAATTTGATTTTATGATTCATGTACCAAAATTGAATGCTAGTTGTACGCTTCTTGCTTTGGAATTTTATTGCATGTATAACTAGAAAAAAATTATATCCAAATCGATTAGGGTTGTATGTGCACCATAGGAGTTTTATAGTACACAAAACCAAACACCTTCCACACCTTACCTGTACCTTCCTCAAGGTTCTACCTGACACCTCTAATTCGCCCCAAATAATAATATGACCCACAGAATACAACATAGCTCAAATCCTATTCTAAGATTTCTCAATCCCCATCAAACCATAACTTAATTAACCACAACAGGCTGTCCTATGCATGCACGTTATACACAGATAGAATCACATGGATTGTCAAATAATATCCAACCCTAAAGGAACGTGTAAAAAATCTTCGTGATCAACTACGGCTTCTCTCTAAAGGAACCTCTATTGTCTCCGAATATGGACGGAAATTTAAGGTGATTTGTGATCAATTGGCAGCTATCGGCCAAGCTGTTACCGGATCCGATAAAAATCATTGGTTCCTTTGTGGTCTTGGCAGTGATTTTGAAGCTTTCTCCATTGGGATTAGGACCTCTCGTCTCTCTCCAAATTTTCACGACCTCCTTGCTCAAGCCAAAAGTCATGAGCTTTTCATGAAATCCCTCCACGCCAACTCCACACCTGCTGTCGCTTTCTCTGCTGAATCAGAGCCCATTGGGGCTGTTGCCGCTGCCTCTGCTGGTTGGGGTCGTGGTGGTGGCTCCGGTGGTCGTGGTGGTCCTCGCGATGGTCGTGGTCGTGGCTGGCGGTCACCCCACTGTCAACTATGCCGACAAAATGGTCATTTTGCTAATGCTTGTCCACAACTTCCGACCTTTGCCTCTCGGTCTGCCCCTAGTGAAGCTGATTTAGCAAAAGCTTTCCTTGCAAATTGTCATGTGACCCCATTCGGCCCGGATTGGTATGTTGATTCTGGTGCCTCAGACCACATGGTTTCTTCTTCGGGCTCGGTTGCTAAACCCGAACCTTTTGTTGGTGATGGCTCGGTTTACTTCGGTAATGGTAATACTCTTCCCATTGCTACTATTGGGACTCCCTCTCTTCCCAATGATATTCAGTTGTGGGATGTTTTGGTGGTTCCCCGTCTTACTAAAAATTTATTATCTATTAGCAAGTTAACATACGATAATAACGTGGATGTGATTTTCTACGAATCTTTGTTTTACATTCAGGATCGGGCAACGAAACAAATTTTGGCTCAAGGAACCTGTGATCGGGGGCTTTATGTTCTACCAAATAAGTCGGTGGCTTGTGCGTTTTATGCTAAGAAGCGACCCAAGGCATCTTTTGAATTATGGCACTCCCGTTTAGGGCATGTGTCTTTTGATGTTATTTCTATATTAAATAAACTTGGTCATGTGTTTGTTTCTTCTATTTTACCAAAACCAGTTACTTGTTCTCCTTGCCAACTTGCTAAGTCTCATCGATTTCCTTTTGACAATAATGACCAACGAGCCGCCCATGTTTTAGATTTGATCCATTGTGATCTTTGGGGTCCTTCCCTGATTGATTCAGTTGCTTCATACCGATATTATGTCACCTTTATGGACAATTTCTCTCGCTTTACATGGCTTTACCCGCTCAAGTCTAAATCAGATTTTTTTAGCATTTTCGAGTTATTAATCGCCTTCGTAGAGACTCAATTCTCTACCAAAATTAAAAATTTTCAAAGTGATGAGGGTACAGAATTTCTAAATAACAAATTAAAGGCGTTATTGCATAAACATGGTATATTTCACCGCATCTCATGCCCATATACCCCCAACAAAATGGGCGGGTTGAACGCAAACATCGTCACATTGTGGAGATGGGACTCGCCATGATGTTTCATGCTCACATTCTGGTTTCTTATTGGGCTCATGCTTTTAGCTCCACCGTGCATGTTATTAATTGTCTCCCCACAAAGGTGTTGTCCATGAAATCTCCATTTGAGGTCTTGTTCGGACGGGTTCCATCTTATGAGAATTTTCGCATTTTTGGGTGTCGCGTGTATCCGTATCTGCGTGACTATGCGGATCATAAACTTTCTCTGCGGAGCATCCCTTTTGTTTTTGTGGGGTATCACGCTCAATATAAAGGCTACTTGTGTCTCGATCCGGTTTCAACACGGGTTTTTGTTACCCGCCATGCCCGGTTTGATGAAGAGTGCTTCCCGTTTCGTGCCACCAACACAAATGCTCCTATTGGGTCTTTACCCTTACATACATTCCTTGGTGATCAGCTCCCCACCGATCCCGTCCCCGATGATGCAGCCTCGGCTTCTCCATGTGCTCCATCAGGACCCGCCACCCCTGCTCCTTGCACTGTGTGTACGGAGCCCGATTCTCTAGCTCCCTCAGTTGCATCTCCTGCATATGAGTCCCCTTCTTGTGCTTCCCCGGGTCCCGAACTCGAGTAACCTTTCGGGTCTAACTCCGAACCAACCATTGATTCTGCTACTGAAACCGTCTCCGAGTCTGGCTCGTTGTCTGGTTCCGGGCCTACTTCACCTTCGGTCCCTCGTCCTCCCTCGCCTTCTCACTCGATGACCACGCGTGCCAAAGCCGGGATTCTTAAGCTACGCTACCGTACTGATTTGGCACATTTAACCTCTCATGGTTTGTTTTCGCAGGTTTTTTTTGCTGACGTTCCCTCGTCTCATACCACTGCATTGCGTGATCCTAAATGGTGTGACGCAATGTGTTCCGAGATGGCGACTCTTCATCATAATCAGACATGGACTCTTGTTCCACGGCCTCCCTAGACTAATATTGTGGGTTGCAGGTGATTGTTTCGCACTAAATATTGGGCTGATGGGACTGTAGAGCATCACAAGGCTCATATCGTCGCTCAAGGGTCCAGTCAAGTGTCGGGACTTGATTATTCTCACACCTTTAGTCCCGTTGTCAAGGCCGCTACCGTTCGTATTGTTCTCACTCTTGCGACTATTAACGGATGGAATTTGCGTCAACTTGATGTCAATAATGCTTTTTTGCACGGCCATATGGGTGACACTATCTTTATGAACCTCCAGGCTTTGCGGATGCTCGTCATCCTGATTATGTTTGCAAGCTCAATAAAGCTATCTATGGTCTTAAGCAGGCTCCGCGTGCGTGGTTTCATCGCCTCAGCTCGTTTTTAGTGCAACATGGTTTTTCCTGCAGTCGTGTGGATCCCTCTCTTTTTGTGTTTCATCGGGACTCGTGTATCATGTATCTGTTAGTGTATGTTGATGATTTGATTGTTACTGGCTCGGATGATGTTGTTGTGTCATCTTTCATATCTCGACTACACGCCGAGTTTCGCATTAAGGATCTTGGGCGTTTGAACTATTTTCTTGGGCTTGAGGCCACTCATCATCCCACAGGCTTGTTTCTCAGCCAAGCTAAGTATGCTCACGACATCGTCACACGCACCGGTCTTCTCAATGCCAAGCCTATGCCTACTCCTCTTGCTACCAACGCCTCCCTTGTTAGTGGTGGCCCTTTTTATGAGGATCCGACTCATTATCGGTCCTTGGTTGGTGCTCTTCAGTATTTGACGATTACGAGACCCGATATTTCTTATGCTGTTAATCAAGTTAGCCAATTTCTTGCCGCCCCAACGATTGCTCATTTTCAAGCTGTTAAACGACTGATTCGCTATGTCAAGGGAACCCTCTCGTTTGGTCTCACTTTCTCACAGCCTCCGACTATTAAGCTTGTTGGCTACTCTGATGCCGACTGGGCTCGTTGCCTTGAGAATCGCCGCTCCACCTATGGATACTCGATATTCCTGGGGGGTAATCTTGTGTCCTGGAGTGCGAAGAAGTAGCCTACTATCTCTCGCTCCAGCTGTGAATCTGAATATCGAGCCATGGCTAATACGGCTGCTGAGATCATCTGGATCACTCATCTGTTGTAGGAGCTGCATGCCTTACCCACCGATCGCCCCACGCTTCTCTATGACAATCAAAGTGCGTTATTTCTTACCCAGAATCCAGTGGCTCATAAGCGTGCTAAGCATATTGATCTTGACTATCATTTTGTTCGTGAGCTCGTCGCTTCAGGAAAATTGGTCACTATGTTTGTTCCTACCAAGCTTCAAGTTGCTCATATCTTCACTAAGAGTCTACCCCGACCACAGTTTGAGCAGTTCCGTCGCATGCTTCGTCTTGGTCCACCTCCTCTCGCTTGAGGGGGGATATTAGACTAGTTTTATATCTGTATAGAGCTTTTCTTTATTGTTGTATACTTGAGGGACTTATATGTATCTTTAGTTATTATATATACATGATAACTCTCATGCCTCTTGGTGTAGAAACCCATTATTTCAAATAGTTCAAGACCTTTTCGTAAACGCGGGCAAAATAATAGGACTAAAATGGAGATTTCCTAATTTTGTTTTAGTTTAATCATTTCATTAAGTTTTACTCTACTGAATTCTTTAACATTTACTAAAGATCATCTTACATTTGGGGAAAATATTTAGATTATATTCACATGGTTTTGACAAAGAGACAACAAGAGCCGATGGTAGTCAACCGATCATTCCATGTTGCCGATGAAACTATAATGAATTTGTTGATATTGGAGTTTGATATTTTCTTAAAAAGTATATGTTCAATAATAATATAAGTTCTTTTTAAACAAAATATGAATATTAATTATTTGAATATTCAAGTAATTGTAAGCTTAAAACTAAGATTAAATAAAATATAAACATATGTAGATGACTCACTTGCGCCTTGTGGATGTAATATCAACATTTTTGTCAAAATCAATCGATCGTTGAAAGTTATAAAATTTATTTGTGTAGAATTGTTCAGTAAAAATAGTTGTAAATTTTTTATAAACCCTAACATTTTAACTAAAATAAAACAAAGAAGATTTGATGTCCTATACGGCTACACCTAAACCCTTAATTTCACATTCTCCCACATCAACAAATTTCTTCAGCAAATACGACGTCATATATGGATTGCACTGCACAAAAACACCAATCAAACTAAATACCAACTTCACAAAAATTGATAAACATGCACTTCAAAAACAAAAGATAAAAGAGTAAAATAACAAACAATCATTCTTTCAAAATTCAAAAACTTTATTTTTTACCTTCTTCTTTCGGGATATTCGGTTGATCTACCAAAAGTCGCTCGAGACTTTGTAAATCACCAACACTACAATGAACATTAAAAAAAATTATAAATATTAAATTTTCTTCAAGTACTACAAATAATTTTTTCATAACATAATGGTCTTGTACTGCATCTGGCATACATTGAACTAAAAATATGACATATGTCAATGGTAGTGTGGGAGAATCGTTTTTATTCTGTCCCATCCAAAAAGGTGGGATAGGGACCTTTTGTGCAAAAGACATAAATGCCCTTGTCCAGTTTTACGTAACAAAAGCATACCTTGGTTTCAAGGCAAGGCTAGCAAGCGCTGATGTCACGGATGATTTAAGCACATACCTACACCATTTGAATCAAAAAACTACCTCTTTATATTATTTCCAATTATAAAGTAATATGGTAGGCTTAAAAATACTATTTGATAATATTAAATTTATTTATGTATAGATTCATACTCTGATTGATACATCTCATGTAGAATCCGAAGCCCTTCTAAGCAATCTGCAATACTTGGTTTTACACCAATTCTTTGATGTAATTGTTTCATTGAAAGCTGAACAGAACCACCTTTCACTTGCTGTTTAGCATCACGAACAGTTTTTGCAAGAGACATAACAACACCATTTAATTCCACCCTGAAAACATCAAGATATCAAAATTATTAAGCTAAATATAAATTAACTAGGATTATGGATTATTATAGACTTACAGAGTTTTAGTCATTGAAAGCAAGATCTTCTGAAGGGATTCCATCTGCTTTGTGAAGATGGTATTTTTAATGTTATCAAGGTTTTTTAGGGAACCATAGTTTTTGGGATTTTCGAGCAACTGATAAGAGGGTAAAAAAGGGAATAAAATCGATAAGAATTAATCAAGAGATTGAATCTATGTATGAATATATGTATGTGAAATGTGAAGGACCTGTAACCTTCCAATGATGGAAGAAGCATTTCTGAACTGTGACACTAATCGAGCATGGAGGTCGTCCCATTTATCCATGTCATCTTTCACCCTCTTAAATTTCTGCTGAAACTTTTTCACTGTTGCCTCCATTGTTAACCAAATCTAAAACACAAATTCTTGCCTATATTCCAGAAAGATACACACGATTAGTGTCTGTTGATACTCATGTTAAAAGTTTACCTATTTATTTTGGGTTTACAGTTTAATGTGTTGTTAACCTCAAAATTTTGGTAAACATGTCATAATCTAAACCCCAAGTATCTTCATGATAACCGGTATGAACATCTGGAAGAATGAGGGGTTCATAGCTCTGTCAGGCATATACACAAACACATGGTGTGGTGTCCACTAGGATTATTAAGAATGAAAGTTAAAGCCTTATGAACACAAAGCACACCAATTTGGAGCATCAAAACCCAAAAAGAACATATTCGTCATAAATCAGTATAGTCAGTAGCAATTAAATTGAATAAAAACATGCCCAGATTAAGCAATTAAACCAATGATCGAAATTCGAACAGTGTGCCTGTGTAGGCATATAAAGAACACGAAAATTGGGATATGATGCATGTATGGGATCAAGAACTGAGACATCATGCCTCAATCAGAAGTGTTCATATTAAAAGCCAAACTTAGAAATTATACCATTTTTTTTAACAGTACAACCACTTACCTAAATGTTGTAGCAGTCGCAGGTTAGGGCTCTGTCGAAGGGAAATGCTCTTTAGAAGGGTCAAAATGGCGTATTAGAAATTTAGAATGTTGTATCATGGCAGGAATCAATCGAGGAGACAATGTATCTGGGTTTTGGGGTTAAAACTTAAAAGGGAAAACGATTATATATATATATATATATATATATATATATATATATATATATATATATATATATATATATATATATAATTTTGACCTAACCACTTTTTCTTCCAAAGCAAAGAAAACGACCAAGTCCGCGAAAAAAGACCGCTCCTCGTAAAAAAAAAAAAAAAAATTCTTTTTGGATGACAAAATTCAATAGAAAGGCATAAGCATAGACCATGAAGTTATTTATTTCCTTTAAAGATTCATGACAGACTATATGTACCCTCTATGCGAGAGGGCCAAAGCCAGCAATTTTTTTTAGGTGTTTGTAAGTAAAATTATCAAACATCCGCAAGTAGAAGTGCTGGGGTATCATCTAAGTTTTCTCCATTATGCAAAAATTCTAACATGGAATCAAAACATCTATTTCTAACACGAAAAATATTTGGAATCAAATTCAACAGTGATGTAACTCTGCTGTTACGGGGTGTATATCGATTAAGGCTATATTTCAAATCAATCACTAATCACTAAGTGGTAAATCAGTGAGTTAGCATGGTATAAAGTTCTCCCAATGCTGCAATATTAGGTGCCGATGGTTTTGGGTGAATTATTAAGGCTACTAATCTACTATGTTTTTTTATAAAAAGGAAATAGATGGAAAAGTATGTTGCTATAGCCTATATCAGCCAAAAAAATTCTAATTTGATGATTTAGTTCATAATGTTGCTAAATTACGCTTTCTAGTTTTAATTGCCACCTCCCCGCCGGTTGTACTTTTTTTTTCAAATAAAATCTCAAAAGTTCCAAAAAAAAGTTGTATTTGGCATATATAATGTTTACTAGATGTACTTAAACAAAGAGGGAGAAAGATAGATCATACCATCAAATTACGTAGGTAGTTACTCTACACCTAACAACCACAAAAAGGTAAAACCTCTTACAAGTTTATATATATATACTAGAAAGTTTGAGGCTCGTGCTAAGCACGACCCATGTGTAGTGTTTAGAGTATCGTTGAAAAACCATTAGACTACACCAACAAGCCGTACTAAAAAACATAGATTAGATAAAAATCGGAAATTAATATATCGGAATATACATGATCAAATTTTTGACATTTAGTATTATCAACTCTAAAAAGCGATCATTAGTTTTGGTTTATTGAAATTAGAAATGTAAACTATCATCAGTTTTAATGAAATGGTTATTATATAAGAGATGCATGGGAGTGGGGAAGGAGAGACAAAGTGAACAGCTGCACTGAACTCAATATTTTTGGGGCTAATTATATATATATATATATATATATATATATATATATATATATATATATATATATATATATATATATATATATATTAAAATGTAATAACATGTCATTTTTGGAGTTAATTACATAAACATAACATCATGCGGAATTGATCAATATAATATCAAATATAATAATAGTTTAGAATTGTTATTCAAATTTGATAGTTGTGAATTTGTATTTCATTTTTTTGTTGGTCTTGATGTGCGGACTATCGACTGTCAGTTTTGCTTTCCCAAACCCCAAACATTTAGATTTTCTTTAAGTTAATCTTTTCAGTTGGTTTATTCTGGTTCTACTATTTTCCTTTCGATTTAGTAACTTTTTGTCAACATCTCTTAATCTTATTCCTCCACTCTTCCTAAGATTTCACAAGAACAAATCATTAATAATCCACATCAAATCACAAAATAATTGAAGTTGTTCAAAACTATGTTACGTGATCTTGAAATTAGAACCACCACCCCTTGAAATATTTTATCGTTCTAAAAATAGAAAACAAAAAACAACAATTAAACTGAAACCTATACACACGCAGAAAAAAAAAACTTGAAACCATATTCATATTGGTTTTAAATTGGAAGCCTGGAAACAGACATAATGTCAAAAACTAAAATAAACATAAAATATATGAAATTTAGCCATAAATCCAGAAACTAAGAGTGACATTGAAGTCAAATAATCTTTTCAAAATCCGAAAACCAGAGAAAGAATTATAGACCGGATTAAAGCAAAAACAAAGAATAAACAGAAAAAACCAAAGCCAATCGATTAATCTTCAAAACCAAGAAAGAACTTTTGGCTACAATCTGAAACATAATTCCACAATCGATTAATCTTCAAAACCAAGAATAAAGAAAGATTTGGACCATATGAGCACATTAAAAGAGAAAAACAGAATGAAGTCACGAACATTCATCAGGAAGCATATCATAAGATATAACATTTGAATTAAATCCGAAACCTAACTCCCAAATTGATTGATCCTCAAACCCCATTAACATTGAGAATAAATACACAGTGAAAATACAACGAAATAGTTAGAAACATACATGATAAGCTAGAGAACGATGGAGATGATGTTGATTGTGCGTATAGAAGAATGAGAGGTATATTTTGGGCATAAAGTTGTTTAAAAAAAGACGGAAGGGTAAAGAAATCCATCGATTAGATTAATTCTAACAACTAATTGAACTTAAAAGCAAATTAGGGTTCCTGTGATAATATACCTGTAGAAGAAGAAAGAAAAGTCAGCCGTTCTTATTTGATTCCGATTTCCAGATATTTGAGGAAACGTCTTCCACGTCACTGAAAAGATGCAGAATTGAACGTATGTCGAATTGCAAAAGGAAGACCTAATCTGAAAATCGATTAAATTTCTCGAAGTAGGGAAACATTTGCAGTTTTTGTTGAACATCGGAAGCAAGTATAGCAAAATTTGAATCGAAAATTACATACCTGCAAAACCAGGGCGCCTCCCAGCAGGTGTGTGTATCCAATTTATGGGTGTCCTTATTGAAACGTTGAGTGAAGTGGGCGTATTTGGAAACGTATAAATATTGTAGAAGAGAAAATGGTTTATATACAAGATGAGGCGTTGAAGGAGAAACGACAATAATGGGATTGGATCGACGTAATGGTAAGTTGCGTCGTTTGTGGGGTTAGAATAGCTCGATTTGGTTTCAGACGGTCTGACATGCAAACCGTCGGAGAGTACATGGACAATCACCCGTGTTTGCTGAAAATCACCGATTACATGAAAATCACCCATGTTTACTGAGGAAAACGTTTCGAAGCAACATCTCCCAACATGTGTGACTATCCAAAAGGAAAAGAAAATTAGAAATTACATGAAGCTGACACATGACTATTTTGAAACGACTTTGATGTTCATGGTGTCGTTTTACATGAAGCGTACAAACGTTATTTTGAATCTGACTTTAATACTCATGGTGTGGTTTAGGAGGTAGATTACGTGGCGAAAAAGAGAACCTGTAAATTTGATTTTAGCGGCTGTAGAAAAATTGGGCTTTTATATATAGGAATGATATATATATATATATATATATATATATATATATATATATATATATATATATATATATATATATATATATATATATATATATATATATATATATATATATATATATATATATATAGGTTTAGGTTCTATGGAAAACAAAAAACCCTAAAAATCATAAAAATGCATAAAAAAATACTTAGAGATCACAAGATTTTTTTTATAAAAAATCGCAGCTTTTAATAAAAATTCGCTGAAAAAAAATATATATTTTTTTTTATAAAAAAAGTTTTTTTTTTCAAATTTTTTTTCAACGATTTTCTTTAAAAAGCTGCGATTTTTTCTTAAAAAATGTCAAAAAAAAAGTTTTGTGATCTCTAGGTATTTTTTTATGTATTTTTATGATTTTTAGTGTTTTTTTGTTTTCCAAATAACCTTTCCTATATATATATATATATATATATATATATATATATATATATATATATATATATATATATATATATATATATATATATATATATATATATCAAACCTAAAACAAAGGGGACTGGGGATGCTTCTACAAGTTTGGAACGTTAATTCGGCATTGAATTGCTCGGTTCGGCGAGCATTACTCTATCGCTGGAATGATCGATGAAGAAACAAAAGCAAAATTCAAACATTCTGAATCTACCTTCTGATTTGGCGTCGTTGTTTTTCTTCTCTTAGACCTTCCGATATACCGGCGACGAGCCGGTTCGCGGTCTACGTGGTCATGATAGTGGTCCGTCCACACCACCCCAGGTTCTCGTGGTTAGTCGTGTTCATTGTGCCTCATGCTCGGGAGGACGATGAGAACGGAGAATGGGAGAAGAGGAAAAGAATCGTTGAACGGCTACATTTTTTAAACATTTTTTAAAAAAAAATCTAACTTCTACTTTCATCTATAAATACCACATTTTTACACCATTCTTTTCTTTCTCTATACACAATACACACACAACAATTTCATATCAATCAAAAATTGATCCCAACCAAAACACCCCCCCCCCCTCTCCCCCCAAAATTTAGAAATCACAAACCCGATAACATTTTTGCGTTAGATACAACCCCTCGCCAATTTCCGACCATGGAATCACCTAAAGGTGGCTTTGCCAATTTGCCCCAAACCGGTTCCCTTATCCAACAAACAACACTTTTTCAACAACAATATCAAGCTTTTCCGGCCTTCCAACATCAACAACTTCAACAATACCAAGCTTTCCAACAATTCCAACAACTCCAACAACAACAATTCCAACCACAACCATCACAACCCCCTCATTCGCCAGATTTTGTTTCGGAAACTCAACCTTCACCACCACCTCAACCTAAAAAGAAAAAAAAAATTAAAAAACGGTTCGACCCAACACTACCCAAGAAAATGTCCCATGGACAAAAGACGAAGAATAAAAGCTAGTCGGGGAATAGATTTCGGCTTCTCAAGACCCGATCGAAGGCGATAGTCAAATATTCTGTTGTTTTTGGGAGAAAGTATGCACGGTGTTTTATGAACAAAACATTTGTGGAGCTGGGAGATATAACATTAGAATGCATGACCCGTTGGACTATGTTGAGGAGCTCTACCGCCTTTGGCGCAAGAAATCCAAAAGTATCAAATGCAAAAGGTATAAACATATGTTGATTTTCTATACATGCATTCTCGCGCTTTTGCCACTTTGCACACAGCGGCTTTCAAAGCGGTATGTCAGGCTATGAAACCCCTGCTCCTCATACCGACGAGAGGAGAGGCCCCAGTAAGATCCACACAAGCGTGCTTCCCTCCTATCTATCCAAAGAACAAAAATGTCAGTTGGCCTGAGTGTGGATCTTCCATTCTGCGGGTCTGTCAAAAAGTTCACTGGTGCTTCTTTCTTTACAGAAATACCAGCACGCCGACAAACATCAAAGAGGACATCCCTAACGACATCATGTCAGTACTTCAAACCAGAGATTTCTCTACAACGAACCGCATGTTCCCCAAAAGTGTCCAAGCATGCCTTGCGACAAACTAGACATATCTCGTCAATTGGGAATAGAGAAATCATTAGGCGGTAACGAAGGATAGTTCGGTACTCCACAGGAGACATATGCTGGCCGAGGCCGTCAATAGGGATAGTTAGCAAAAAATCTTGAGCATGAGGTGCTCGAAGACAATCAAAAACTACTTTTTATCTAACAGTCATGTCGAAGTTGACTTCCATATCTTTAACGATTTTGCTAAAAATGACACACGCCAATGCTTTCTGGGTTTTTTTGGGGGGTGTCCTTATTAGTGAAACCGCTACAGTCGAATCCTAGAATAGTATTGCGAAAACGAGTCAAAGCACATAGGTAATCAGAGTCCATACCACATATGTCACTGTCACGTTATAGTTTTCCTGTATTTTTGTGTGCTTCCTCCATACATAATTGTTTGGTTCGAAATATTATATAAAAAGTTACAATCTAAACACGTTTTTGTTGGATTAGTGTCCAAGTCCATAACTATTTTGGTATGTACTTGACCCGATTATGAGCATGGTTCTTTTGGGTTGCCTTCACCCAAAGTAACTTGATAGGATGATTTGTGGAGAAGAGATTAATTATGATTTATTAATATATTATATGAATAATATAAAAAGAGAAAAAATATTGTTTAATTAATATTAGTCAAGAATTAATAAGAATTAATTTTGTGGCTAAAAGACATTAATTAAATAAAGGGGGCTAGAACTGTCAATTGTGTGATAATTGGATATTGGGCTAATGGACTCCATAGAGGTTGGAGTGGATGAAATCTATGAGGAAACCCATGAGAATTCGTCCAAGGCCTCTAAGGAGGGAGTCCATGGGCTGCTTAGGGCCTAAGCAGCCAGATTTGGGTTTCCTAGTTCAAAACCCTAATAGCCTCACTATATAAAGACCCCTAGGGCACCCAAAAACACGGCTAAGCATTCCTTGGAGTTTCTTGGACGTTTTTGGTGCCTCTTTCTCCTCTCCTAAGTCATCTTCTTGCTCTTGGTGTTTGTGAGCTATTAGAGGTGTGATACTTGTGACACTAAGCTTTCAGAAGCCAATTACAAGAAGGAATAGATTGTTATTGCTACATAACAATCAAAGGTAAGAACTAAACCCTATATTATGATAATATTGATTATTATATGCTAGATCTAGGGTTTATGGCTTTGGATGATTATTGCATGTTCATTAGATAAACTAGATCCAAAGCTTTAGGGGTTGCATGTACTCCATAGGAATGATGTAGTGCTCATAACCCATCAGTTTGAAGGTTTAAACTATATTGATAAAATTTCTACTAAGAAATCTTATCCTTTTTGCGTCATGTGTTTCAACATACGGGATTTTCGCAGTATCGCACAGAGGGTCCAAACCCTAGTTGTTATTATTTTCTTAGTTTTTTATAGTTTTTTTTAACACAAATTTTTAAACTTGGGTTTTGATTTTTTGAACTTTTTTCATATAATTTTATACAGTTTTCATACAACTGTTTTTAGACAAAGTATTTATAAATGTTTTAAACTTTTTTTTTACAACTTTTTAATATACTTCTTTCTTACATTTTTCATACAACTTTTTTATTACTTTCATACAATCCTTTCTAAACTCGTTTTATAAAATTTTTAAAATGGTTCATAGATTTTTTTTATAACTTTTTACATGTTTTTTAGAATGGAAAACACACAAATTTTTATATTTTTTATAACATTTAAAAATACTTTCATTAAAGTAAGATGTAAACATGTAAAATAAGTTTAAAACATTATACTAACAAAATTGTACATCTTTTATAAACTTTTAGTTAAAACGTATGGGACTTAGGAGGGTAATAAGGTTTCCAGCTTATCCGTATTAGGTTACTAAGGTTTTTTTGTGAGTATTAGACCAATATGGTTGTTATTATTATTTAGAAATAGTCCTTTTACCGGTTTTAACGGGTAAAAAGGACTATTTCTGAACGGTAATAACAACCATATTGGTCAAATAAGCACACAAAAAAACATTAGTGGCCTAATACGGACAAACTGAAAACCTTATTACCCTCCTAAGTCATTAACCATAATTATTTAGAAAACATGCTTACTAATCAATGTGACTGGAAATAGTTGCTTCCATTTAAACTTATCTCACAACCCTTCCAGAAACTTATATATTGATGATCTTCATTACATAAATATGCAACATTTTATCAATAACTTCTTTTTTGTCATTTAAATGTTTACACGAACACATCCGTATGTACAAAAGCAAAATCTCACTTTGATACCTCCCATCAATGTCTACATTTGATAACGAATGGAAATGTAAAACCAATAGGGACTTGTAGATGATGTCTATTATCAATTATTTTATAAAAAGCAAAACCACAACATGAACTAGGAAACTGAAGTTGCAAAATGAATAAAAAAATCAGCACATAAACAAATACATACATACTATATACAACACATAAACGGAAGTTTATAAAGCATGAAACTTAATGACAGGAAAAGTAAAAAACTTAAAGGAGACTTTATAGAAAGAAAGATCACCCTTACTTGCCACAAATGGTTAAAGACATCAACAAGAAGATCAACCTGACCATAGAATCCACATGTTGTTTGATCATGACTTCAGTAGATGAACTACTGAAACGTAAGAATTGCAATTGAACTCTATTAGCATTTGAAAAGGGAATTAGGGTTCCAAAGAAGATGACGAAGGGTTAAAAAAAATTTGGACCATTTCTCGATTTGTGTGTATCATCCTTGCGCACGGGCCATGCTAATCTTCTCTGTATCGTTCCAATTTTATCGGACGTCCCCAAAGGGACGACTATAGATGAAGAGCTTCTCCATATAAAGGAGTAGCAGGTTATATGGGACGACGCGAGTTCTAAACGAAGTAGTTTACTGTTGATGGTCATATATTCTCAATGTCTTTAAAATTAGGGTTATCGACTTAGGAGGGTAATAAGGTTTCCAGTTTGTCCGTATTAGGTCACTAAGG